TTTTCTTTTGTGTTGTCTTATTTAAAACTTTCTCTCTACCGTAAACTCCGAAACACGGACCTTATCAAACAAGACCGCTGCGCGGTGAAACAGGTTGATCGCGGTATTTTTGCAGAGACGTAGAGTGTACTTGAATTTCGAACCGCTGTGAGCCGAGTGCTTACTAGTATTCTACTTCCGCAGTTATTTGATGAGATACCAAGTAGATTAGAGCAAAGATTCAAGAATTACCAGTTTCAACCGTCATTTTTTAAGATAATCGAGTTGACTATTTTATCTTGTTGGCTGAATAGATGGAGTTCATTTAGAATTGCATTACGCATTTTAGACAAAGTTTTAATTGCTCAATGTGACGAAAGGTTTTTTAGGAACAGACTTGATTTCACAAAAAGTTAATAGTGAAGGTGGATGACGTGTTTTCTTTTAACCATCGCAAATTTTTTGGCATTTTACAAATTATATAGTACCTATAAATATAAAAAATGTCATTGGAACAAGCAATAAGTTTCAATCATTCAACTTTTTAATATACAATATATAAATAAGTTCTTGCTTATTTAAAAAATCCATACAAAGCTATCTTTATTCTAACTTAGTTTAAGTATAAAAATTTAGTTTATATAGAAATAGTTTTAATTATTTTGACTATCAATATTGAGAAGTTGTTGATATTTATATATCCACAACTTCTCGTATATAAACATTTTTTAAAACTAGGTCTAATTTATTTACAACTTGTTTGTTTCCACAGCTTGTTAGTATAAAGATTGCATTATTTTACTGTTTTATTTATTTTACCAAAGAGTCTATTACAGGGGCGTGTCTAGGGGAATGTCTGCTACGTCGTTGGACGTACCCAAAAAAAATTAAATAAAAGTTTTTCAACTTGATTATATTTTTGAAAAAAGTCATACTATATGTAACTATTAAAACCAAACTACAGCAAAAACTAAACAAATTATGCACTGTTAATTATCTGAAACGGTTGGAAAAAAATTAAAAACCGGAAAACATAATAGTATATCGGTTTCATAATTTTGCGATTGTTAAAAAATAATAAATACAATATTTTGATGGAGGTTAAACTAACTTTTGAGTTAAATAACTTAATTAGAAACTTGAATTGACATACCTTATTTTATTTTGTTATATAGAACTTTATCTTTTAAATTTCTTCTTTTATTGTTTTAAAAAAATCAAAATGATTATTTTAGTTAGAACAAACTTTGGACTTTTGACATACACCCTGAGTAGAATTTTTATTAAGTTTAATTGTTTAATTATAACCAGGAGGTAAAATTAGCTAGTAACAACAAGTATATATATATATATATATATATATATATATATATATATATATATATATATATATATATATATATATATATATATATATATATATATATATATATATATATATATATATATATATATATATATATATATAAATATAAATTGTTTTTTTAGGTGCCCCAAGAATACCTAACGGTCTTGTCACAGAGCACCGCGGATATACATTTAACCAGGAAGTTCACACCTCTTTCCTTACCGTGACGCGAAAATTTATCTAGAGCTTGTTTCGAACCTGGATCTCCTGCTTATATAAAGCAAACGCTCTAACCACTGCGCCACGGCCGCACAAAAAATGACCCTGAAGCCAACAATAAAGTTTATTTTATTGAAAGCCATGCCCTTATCAAACGCTGAGCCTAATCCTAAGAGTCGAAAGAGTATATCATAATATATCAATTGACATCCCCAGTTTTATTATACTAGACTGTGTATCATTTTAATAAATTACATTTTAAGTAATAAATAAGGAGAGGAAGATTTCAAATATGGAAAATAAAGTTCGGACTTTCCTTTTGCCATACACCCTGCCTAATTTGTGTTTTATTAAATTAATTTATTTTGTTAAACATTTAACATAGCCGATGATTAGTTTAAAATTTCGCTTAATTCACAAGTTTATATAGCATTATAAAGAAAAAGTTAGTATGTTAAAGAAAAGCATCATTTCCTTTAAAGTTAGGCTACCAAATATTATATTGATTGTGTAGAATTTTTTATATCACGATATCCTTTGGTTACAAGAATAGAAGACAGAGGGTTATTACAAGTAGAAGCTGTTTATAGTTGCATCGATAAAAACTAGTATTTTGTTCCTTGGTTTTCTTTGATAACCAAGATGAAGATTTTAGACTTATTAAGTATAAATTTTAATTAGCCATATTGTTTATCCTTTATGAGAATCAAGTTATTCGTAATCAACACCTCCAAATATGCTTTAACCAAGCATAAAAATTGCATTTTAAATTGTTTTAACTTGGCTATCACTGTTTCTTTAATAGACTATCTAATTACTGAGTATAACACAATGTTTGATTGATACAATTTTGAAGTGTTATAAAGCACCTGTGATTTAATTTCTTCTTTCTAATATTCAGTTTCTTCTAAAAACAATTGCAGAAATTCAATGTTTTGTTATATTAGTTGGGAACACAAAATCATATGTTTTAGTGTCTTTTGTTTAACCAAAGACTTTAATAGGTTTATTTATTATTTCTAAACCAAAGGCTTTATTACTTGAATTTGACCTGTGGAAGTTTAGTTGAACTTCACTTAACTGCCTGAATCTCAAAAATGAACTTTAATCTAATAATACTGAAACATTACAACAAACTTTTTCTTTACTGAGGCGCCTAATAGGTTATAAGATAATAGTAAGTAGACATTGCAAAACAAAATAGTAGATAAAGTCTAAATGGTTTAGTTTAGCTTTTAGTCTATAGATAGAAAACAAGTTTTTAACAAGTTTGTTATAAATACTTATGAGTTGTGTTTTAAATAAAATACAAATATGATAAAAGTATAACTTCAAAAAATGTCTAAGTTGCTTTTTGTTAAACAGCTATTTTCACAGCCAGACATCTTTGTAAAAACATTTAGCATTGTACAGTTATTGAAATAAGTTTTTTGGCTCTAAGTATTAATAAAAATTATTTATAATTAAAAGTTATTTAACTCAATACGGTCAAAATCCGGTCCCCCTCCCTCAAAAAATAGGGAGGCAGAGGGGACATTTTATTTCAGACACCGAAAAAATTTCCTGTAAACGCCCCTGTAATATATCTCCTTGATTTAACAAGTCAACTGAGCATGAGTGTGCCACCATCACGAACCGAGCCTCTAGAGTCTTTTTGAATAAAGGTTGGAAAAGATCCATAGCCATCATAGTCATACTTAAAATATATCAAAAGCCCTGTATGTACATCCCAACTCCATGTTAGTCAGCTATTTATAAGTCAACAATCAAAGAGGCAATAAAGCTGAAGAAAGAAATGATTGAAAAGTTGCATATGGAAAGTTGGTCCTTACACTTTCATGGCAAGCACATCGACGGAATGGATTATCAAAAGGTCGTCCTTAAAAAGAAAGAAGAGAAATCAAATTGGATGTCCTTGGCTTGGTAGATGGCAGGGCTTTAACTATTGCTCAAGGAATTTCTAAAGTCCTCGATGAATTTCACCTATGGAATTCAATACAGATGATTGTTGCAGATACCACCAGCGTTAACACTAAATAAAGAGTGGTGGTGTTGTAATATTGCAAATAATGTTCACAGAGAAACGCATCAACAAACCTCAGTTTATCAGTTGTCAACACCATGTATTAGATAGAACCTTCCGTTTGGTGATGGATGAAGAGCTTTGAAGTAAAACACAATCGCCAAACATTGAATATCCATTTGTATCTCAACTGTTGAAGGAGTACAAACAACTGATTACACAGTTTGATAACGGAACAAAAGTAGTTCTCGAAACGTCAGGCTGGAGAGATGATATGAAATTTTTGTTTCATCTCACTCGAGTGTTCTGATTTTTTAAAGAAAAAAGGGACATTTTCCATTGATAAGGTTTCAGAAAATACCCAACATCAGCAATGCGAGGTGGAACTCCAGAGCTATACTAGCGATCCTGGCCTTCATTTTAATTCCTTCAACAAGGACAATTCTGCAGAGAATGTTGATTTATATCGTATGACTGGGCAGACCATTGGTTTATAGACCAACTGTACAACGAAAACGACTTTAATACTGAGTCCATACAAAAAGGTTTTAAACTTTTTAAAAAAATCGCTGAAAGCGAGAGCCATCCATACTACAGATACCCAGAAGTAATCAATGCGCAGAGCGCGCAATCAAAATAATGGGGGAAATTTATTCATCATGCAAAAATAAAGACAAATTGCACCTTCAATTCTTTCTGTGCAACAAGCAAGAGCAAGGTCAACGGTCTAAGTCATTGTTGGATTGAGAATTTATTGTATTACATGGCTATGACATTCTAAATACATTTGAAAACATAGTACTATTTATGTCAAAATCGATTTTTCAATGGCAAGGTGAACTTTTTTGAAAAGATATGTAAATAATAGTTCATTTCGTGCTTTTTAGGTAAAAGTTCATTAAACTAGGATTATGGGGTTGATAAAGAGTCATAGTTTACAAGTACTTTACATAGTACTTAGTGTACAAACAGCGACAGACTTTAATAGGCATAGGCGCAGCACAGTGTATATGTACCGACTGACTTAAATTTAGGTTAAGGCAGGCATTCTTTAAAAAATTTTTTTTTTTCTAAATATTATAAATTAATTAATTTAATTTGTATAAAGAAAATTATTAGATTAAATTGAACAAGAATTTCAAGTGAAATCTTCAAAATAATTAATTATAGCTTATGTTTAAATAAGCGCGTACAACTAAGAAAAAATTAGTTGTACGCGGCTGCGGATAATGCCTACCAAAATAAAATTGAATAAAAATCACGGCTATCTAAAACACAGGCCTATTAGACGAGCGAAACTGGAGGTCGATTAGTAAAAATTTAATTTAGAATTTTAATTCATAAAAACATTTAACAAAATACAATTGTCATCTAACTTGCTAACTAAAGGCATACTTATTTTATATTTATTGAAGAGAAAATAATACTAAATTTCAATGAAAATAAATTATTCAAAAGAGTTTTACATAAGTCAAACAACAAAAATAACAAAAGTTTTAATTTTATTACTCAGTTTTAAAACTTTTTGGGCTGGTTCCTTGTAAGAACGTGAAGTGTTTAGCTTTGAATAATTATTTAAAAAAATATTTGACAAAATTTTAAAACTTTTTATACACATATTATTTTTGAAATAACCCAAAAAATATAAATTGTCGATTGATTCAAAGTAGTTGGATAAGGAATGCAAACAAACTGGCAAAGTCAAATCCTGTGCAATAAAAAGTACATAACAAAAAAAGTAAAGTGACATAGAATGTCAGTTGGCTTTGTCAAACCACCTCTATCTAAGTCTTTGAGATAAGCACCATACTTATTACAATATGAATATGTATCAGTGTCAAGATCTTCATAACCAATTTTAAATTGAAGGTAACTAGCAATGTATACTAAAGCCATTTCAACATCATCAGTTAAACTAGACTCTAATATTTTCAAAGAATCAAATATTTCACTTTTCTTTTGTGTTAATTGCCTCTGACAGTTTATGCAACTATGACCAACATGAAGCTCACGAAAGTCTGAATCATATTGTAAAAGTAGTTTTGAGTGCTCAATTTTAATTTTTTCTATTACTTGTTGAACTAAAAAAAAAATAAACACCACCAGCACCTTGACGCAACTTACTAAATGCTTTTTCAATAGGGTCAGATGTAAAGTCACCAAGTTCTACAAATTTGTGAGATGTACTTAACAAATATTTTGTTAACTCAACTATTCCTTTTAAGGTATGGACTATAGCTGTAGATGTTTCAACAGTCAGTGTTTTATTTCTTTTTTTTTCCATTTAAATGTCAGAGTCACAAGTGTCTTACATTCTAAGTTGTAAAGGTTCTTAAGATCATCCCACCTTGCAATTAAATTATCATCATTGTCCTTAAACTGAATTTCTTGAGTTTTCTCAGTAATCCAATTATTTCTTATGTTTTTTCATATATGAACATAATTGTAAAGTAAAAAAATGTTATTTTTAGTCAGCCATGGTTTCCCTTCAAAAGTTTCAAAGAGAGAGAAAAAATTTACATTGACTTTATTATTGTCACATATAATTGCAACACACCTTCCATTTGCATTTTAAATTGATCCAAGTATAAAACCAACTACTTTAAACTGAAAATCTGAATCAAGACAACATACTGGAATCATGCATACTATAAAAGTGGGTCCACCAAAAAGACATTTAATCATAACAGCTAATATTGTTTTTGCTAATTTGTCTGGTTGATTAACAGATTTCCCAAAAAGTTCCCCACCGTGATAAGTTAATGATGCTTTAACATATACTTCATCAACTATTAAAATGCACTGTTGTTGTCGGTTAGTAAGTTTGGAAAAAACATGCATAATAAATTCATCATTGTTTAATTTTGAAGCTTCTGATGTCATTTTTTGTAAAGTAGACACACTGGGAAGCTGATAATCATTTCAAATTTGCTTATAAAGTGCTCTTGAAACAAAAAAATATTCAAAAGCTCGAACAATAGTGTTTGAAGAATATAGTGTATCGCCAATACTTAAAATTTTCATTGAAGACAAACTTTCTATAATAACTTGTTTTTTTATCGATAACTCAATATTAGTTAAATATCTTATAGCTTCAGCCAAATTCGATCATTTGTCTAAAATAGTTAAATGATTTTTAGACAAACTTGTTACATAGCATAAGCATCCACAATGATACGTCTCATATTTTAAATTGGAAGAAAGATTTGGTATGAACCTATAAAAAAAATATTTAGATAACAAAAATCTGTAACAATTATTTAATTTTTTATTTATATATACATAAAAATTTAATGAAAGTTTATCTTACTTTGGTAAACCACAGTAAAATTCAGTCGATTGAAAACAAATCTTTTCATCACATTTGTAGACAACTATACAGTTTAATAAATCTTCTGGTATTTTTTTTTTTTGGTAATGAATAATCAAATCATTAAAATTCAAAGAGTCCATGGCTTTGAACGTCTCAAGTTGATCAGCTTGTATATTTCTTGTACCAGCTGATGAAGTTGTAACTCTTGATTTTGGAGGTGCAGTTAGTACAAGGCTGGATTTAACACAATGAAAAATAGATAGCGGAGACGAGGGTTTCCATACCATAAATAATAATTTTTTTTAAATTTATAGGCCAATGTTCAGAACATACAACAGAGTAACTGTTACACTGTTGTGTAAAATACACTGAGTCTCAGTGTATTTACTATCAGGAATGTTGCTTCTTGGAATAGATGATAGCCACTTTCTACGTTCTTCTGGTTCTTTTGGTAATCTGTAAACAGCACACTTTTTTATCTGTTAAATAATTAGTAGAGCAATTTGGGACACAACACTTTAAAGCCATGATAAGTCTCAAGATATATTTTTTCTTCAAATTGCAAGCAACGATATTAACCTTCGGCAAATTTTTCTGAGTTAATCGGTTAGTGCTATATCCTGTCGGTTAGTGCTATATCCTGTCGTTCAAAAGTACAAATACGATCTAACTCAAATCGCAGACCTGGAAAAATGTTTACGCATGCGTATTTTCCGTGTAATTTAAAACCATATTAAAACATAAAAATAGCCTCGTGCGCCAGCTCAAAGTTTAATGTAAGGCTTATTATTTCTCTATAAACTTATGTAAACAGATTAATACATATATAAAGTTATAATTAAACATATATAGTTTATCATAATATTAGATATTGTTATGTACTTATAATATATAAAACAAATAAAGCTTTTGTTGTTTGTTGTTGTCAGGAATTATCATTCATCGATTAATTAATCAACATTTAATAAAATGTCATCATCTGGTAAGAAATTCTAAATCTGCTATTGTTTTGTTTTTCAATCAATCATTTATTTGAATTTAAATGTTAATGCAAACTTAGAATTAACAAACTTGTTCGACATATATGTTTGTATGAAAATAAGTAAAAGCATAAAAGTTAATAACTCACAGAATTTTTATATAAAAACTCTATGAGTTATCATGACTTTTGCTTTTACTTATTTTCATACAAATAATAATATACATATCTAAAATACTGTATAATTATATAGTATTTTAGATATGTATATTATTATTTGTTTATAAAATAATTAATAACAATATTAGCGTTAATAAGAGCTTAATAGTAGTAACAATAACACAAAAAATAATTAAAAAAAAAAATAATACTAATAAAACAACTAAAATGACACCTATAGGCTATAGGTATCATGTTTTATTAGTATTGTTTTTTTTAATTATTTTTGTGTTATTGTTACTATTAATAAGCTCTTATTAGCGCTAATATTATTATTAATTATTTTATATTACAAATAATAATAGAGTATAGCAATAACAACTATAGTAAGATATGCATAGCAATATAAACTAACTAACTACAGTATAACTGCTAATATATAACTATAGTATAGTATAACTAATAATAACAAAAATGATATTATAACTAATATAATATATTAAAAGAATTGTATAACTAATAACTATCTATAGTATAGCAATGACAAAAACATGAGCAAAAACAACAATAGGAATACTAATTAAGCAATAGACAATAATAACTTAAGTTTTACAAGTACGAAAGATAAGATAAAGATGATATAAAATCATTTGAATAAGCCATTGTTATACAAATTTTCAGAACATAAACATATAGAAAAGCAATATAATGAATAGCACTGAATACTATTATATGTACTAATATTATTATTAATTTCATAATGTCGTTCAAAAGTACATTTTTTTTAAATGCAATTATTAATAGCATTCAATATAAACATGTTCTTTGAAAAAAATGAACTATTTCTGTATATATATATTTTTTTCTATTTAAGAACATAAAATAAAGAAAGGCAATACAACGAACATTACAGCATTTAAAACAAAAATGTATTTTTGAACGACATTACCTTAAAGGCCGTTTTCCACAAGACGAAATATTCGCGCGAAGCGAGTTTTTTCGCTATGACGGAAACGCTGTTTTGATTTCCATTTACTTTCTTTCGCGCTACTTTTTTTTCGTTGTCAACAATAAAAATGGCAGCAATAAATTTACGCTGTATGTTTAACTAAAAGCATTTATTACTTTTTTAGCATACTTTAAAGCATGTGAAAATTTCTTTCCATGCATTAATATTAATATTTCTGCCTTTATATGTAAGATGTGATATTATTTTGTAATATAATCATTTAATATAAAGTTTTTTTTACAAAAAGTATAAGAAAATAAATGCTAAACTCTGATATGAACATTTCGATTAAAAAACTGTTACTGCAAGAAGGAACAGCAGGTTTAACTCTATGTAGAATTTTTCACAAAAAGGTTTATCTTCGTGTGGCCACTTAAAGATAAACATTCTTATGAAGTGTAACTTTTGTTATTGACAGTGTGAAAATTTATATTTGTAAATTCTTGATTTAGTTTTCTATATAAATCTGGTCATTTTTTTATGTAAGTCTTGCCCCTTGTTTGATGAATTTACTCATGCTTGCCAATTTTAAGAGTAAGTTCATATAAAATTAATAAGAACGCTAGGTTAAAAATTTTGTTTTTTTTTACTTTAAAAACATGTTTTCGCTTTTTTTTAATGTTGACACCACGTGATATAATATTTAAAATTTGATTGGTTTTCGCTTATGGCGATTCGCAAAAAGTCGAAATGAATCCGACTTTTCTTTCGCTGCAGCAGTATAATCGCCAAAAATGTTTCATCTGCTCATGCTTAACGACGAAAAATTTCGCTTCGCGCAACATTTTCGTCTTGTGGAAAACGGCCTTAAGCTTTGAGCTGGCGCACGAGGCTATTTTTATGTTTTAATATGGTTTTTAATTACACGGAAAATACGCATGCGTAAACATTTTTCCAGGTCTGCGATTTGAGTTAGATCGGATTTGTACTTTTGAACGACAGGATATAGCACTAACCGAGTTTATCGGCCTCCAGTTATTTTTACGGTTTGCACGATTATAGTTTTAGATAGCCGTGATAAAAATTAAAGATTTAAATTTAATGACAATAGATATTTCTGGAATTTTACGTAGGGGAGATATACTCCCGACGTAAACATAAGCCTGTATTTCAACCCGCATAAAATTTGTTACCATGCGTCCGTATATGTGAATGAATTGTAAAGCTTTTAAGGTTTGTATAATTAGAGTAGAAATCTGTAACGAGCTTAGTATATTTTCTGTTAAATTATTATCTGTTACTACAGCAGAAAAAAAAGTTTGTTTTGAAGGTATGCTTTTAGTCTTTTAATTCTAATGCAATATTAAACAAGTCGGTATCAAGTCTCCCCTTTTTAAAAAATAAATAATTAACAAGAGTCATTTTATCAATAAAGTGATCCTTTTTTGAAGATGTTTTATGTTAGAGTAATTCTTCCCTTTACAAAGTGTTTATTGTGAGAGTAAGTCTTGCTTTTGTCAATTTTATTTAAAGGAGTAAGTCTTTTTTTTTTTTTTTTTTTCTTTAAAAAAATTTTTTTCACATAAGAGGAAGTCTCCCTTTTTAAAAAATAAATAATTAACAAGAGTCATTTTATCAATAAAGTGATCCTCTTTTGAAGATGTTTTATGTTAGAGTAATTCTTCCCTTTACAAAGTGTTTATTGTGAGAGTAAGTCTTGCTTTTGTCAATTTTATTTAAAGGAGTAAGTCTTTTTTTTTTTTTTTTTCTTTAAAAAAATTTTTTTCACATAAGAGGAAGTCTCCCTTTTTAAAAAATAAATAATTAACAAGAGTCATTTTATCAATAAAGTGATCCTCTTTTGAAGATGTTTTATGTTAGAGTAATTCTTCCCTTTACAAAGTGTTTATTGTGAGAGTAAGTCTTGCTTTTGTCAATTTTATTTAAAGGAGTAAGTCTTTTTTTTTTTTTTTTTCTTTAAAAAAATTTTTTTCACATAAGAGGAAGTCTCCCTTTTTAAAAAATAAATAATTAACAAGAGTCATTTTATCAATAAAGTGATCCTTTTTTGAAGATGTTTTATGTTAGAGTAATTCTTCCCTTTACAAAGTGTTTATTGTGAGAGTAAGTCTTGCTTTTGTCAATTTTATTTAAAGGAGTAAGTCTTTTTTTTTTTTTTTTTTTTTTTAAAAAAATTTTTTTCACATAAGAGGAAGTCTCCCTTTTTAAAAAATAAATAATTAACAAGAGTCATTTTATCAATAAAGTGATCCTTTTTTGAAGATGTTTTATGTTAGAGTAATTCTTCCCTTTACAAAGTGTTTATTGTGAGAGTAAGTCTTGCTTTTGTCAATTTTATTTAAAGGAGTAAGTCTTTTTTTTTTTTTTTTTTTCTTTAAAAAAATTTTTTTCACATAAGAGGAAGTCTCCCTTTTTAAAAAATAAATAATTAACAAGAGTCATTTTATCAATAAAGTGATCCTTTTTTGAAGATGTTTTATGTTTGAGTAATTCTTCCCTTTACAAAGTGTTTATTGTGAGAGTAAGTCTTGCTTTTGTCAAGTTTAATTCGAAACCCTAAATCTCTTTTTTTTTTTGGTCAAGTTTTATTTGAAAATTTGAAAGAGAGTAAATCTGTCACCTTTATATCTCCTCCTGTCCTGCCTCACATTTCAAAGATGTTATAAAGAGATAAATTTCATAAAGTTTATGCATTAACTCAACCGTACTCCTGATTTTTGTGAAGTTGTGACTGCCAAGTTTTTTTTCAAAAATAATATTATTTTAATTTTTTTAAGCATCTATCAAGCAATTTCAGCTTTCAATTTTACAACTTATTTAAGTGAAATTTAATCCTGCACATGGAGATACCTGGGTAATATTAATTTAGTTAATTTACTTTATTTATACAAATATATTATAAAGTTAAAACTTTTAAAATATAAAGACCCAATTTAATTTTTTTTTTAGTTTTACGTGTTCTACTTGTATGATGACATTTACAAGAAAAGATAACATGAAAAGACATACATTACTAGTTCATAAAACTATTTTTAGAGATAAACAGTCCAAAGATAAAAGAACTCCATGTTATTATCAAAACTGCACCCAAGTTTTTTTTCAAAAAGTTAAACTAATTAAACATATAGAGGACTGTCATGAAGGTATATTTCACAAAGAATCCCTTCATTTTTCATCAGAATGTGAATTCACAGCATGGAAGGAAAAAGAGGAAGTTGATAATTATGTTTTTTTCAGTAAACAAGCAGGCAGTTTTTTTACTGGAAATAATAGTGACAAAGAGGTAAAAACAAGTTATTTTATTTGTCAATATGATGGTCATTCAAAACCACATCGCTCTGCTATTGAACCAGCACGAAAAACAAATAAAAGGTACTACAGAGGGAGTGTTAAATCGGGTGCTTTTTGCCCTGCCAGGATTGATTGTCAAGGTAAGCAAAAATGGAGCCACAAATGTGCATTATATCAAAACTCATAATCACACTATTGGTATTACAAATACCATGTACCAGCCTATTCCAGACAATGTTAAGAAATGTATTTCTGCTAAATTATCAATTGGTGTGTCTGTAAATAAGGTTTATCAAGATCTTAGGGAAGGTTTTGGAGACAGACAAAATAGAAATAAAGGAGATGATTTTCTCACTAAGTCTCATCTTCTTACCAAAAAGAACATTTCAGATATAAACAGAACAGTAAAAAAGGGATGTCGACTTCACCCTGATGATAGCACTTCAACCTTTTTACTTGTTCAAAAGTTGAAGTCTGAAGAGTTTAATAGCATTCTGGTTTTTAAGCCACAAGGACAACAAACTATTATTGGGCCTAAAGTGTATGATGACATTGATTTTAATAAGGATTCTTTTGTTATTGCTATACAAACAAAGCATCAACTGTCAATGTTTGAAAAACATGCTTCACAAATTGTTTGTATAGACTCAACACACTGTACCAATCAGTACGCATTTCCTCTTGTAACTTTACTTGTTCGGGATGATTTTAAGAGGGGCTATCCAGTAGCTTTTCTTATTTCTAATCATGCTAACGAACAAACCATAACACCATTTTTAGAAGAAATAAAAAAGAGATGTAGTAGTTTTGTGAAAGTTAATGCTGTTATGACAGATGATGATTCGTCAGGTTGGAATGCTTTTTGTAATGTTTTTGGAGATGTGCGTCACTTGCTATGTAAATGGCATGTAAAACGTGCTTGGCGTAGTAAACTTTCTTTGGCTGGTCCTGCTCATTTACAAGAAGAAGTTTACAAGATCTTAGAGACAATTATTGATGAAAAAGATCCTCAAGTTTTTCTATCAACAATGAATAGATTTATCAAGGTGTATGAACATAAATCTCCTAACTTTATTAAATACTTTGTCACATACTATGCTTCTAGACATATAAAATGGGCTTCTTGTTATCGCAACTTCCAACATGCAGATACTGATACTAATATGTTATGTGAATCATTTCATAACAAATTGAAGACAGTTTACATGGAAAGAAGACCTAATAAAAGGTTAGATGACTTGATTAATTTACTTCTAAAAATTGAAGAAGATAGTTATTGGCGATACAAAAGAGACAATATTTATCTAGGTACAATATCGCTCCCCAAATATTATAAAAAAAGGCATGAAAAAGGAATGTTGATTTCAGATAACTGTGTTGTTAATGTTTATCAACTCAATACTCAGTTAAAAGCCAATCTAAAGATCTAACATATATTGTTTCCATTTTAACTAACATTTGTACAGAAAGTTCGTGTTTAGAGGTATGTCTAAATCCTGCTTGCAATGGTTTGTGTGAGCATTTGTATAAGTGTAATTGTAATGACACGGTAGTCCTTTGTAAGCATGTTCACAAGTTACAATCATTCCTTCTGAAAACTCAAGAAAAAGATTTTGAAAAAGTATCTGTGGCTGTTGATATAAATGATAATCAAATTAAGAAAAAATCAAAATTGTTAGTTAATGAGGCTGAAAGATTTCACAAAAATATTGATGAACTATGTTTGTTAGTGACTAATCCCATGATAATAAATCTGCATCTTCCATCAATGAACAGACAACTTGAAGACATGATCAGACAAGCTGAAGCTATCAAAAATATAAGTTCAATCGAGATACCTCTTAAGCCATTGTTGCACAATAACCTCTTAAATTTTGAGCCAAATAAGAAGTTGGATAATCAATGGAAGCCTAACAAGTTCAAGAAAACAAGAAAAGAAAAAAAGAAAAAAGAAGCAAAACTGTATCAATATCCTGTGCAAAACCAAAAAGAGGAAATAGTTTTGAAACTGTCTCAACAACATATTGACTTAATTCATAATAAACAAGATAGAGTAATATGCGATGACATAAAAACTAGTGACTTCAATAAGACTCTCATTACCTAAGGCTTAAATACACTTTACTAGCACATTTTTGCTACTAATTTTTTTTTATAAATATCTTTACACATTTTTAAATGTTCTTTTATGTTTGTGAAGAAAAGCACATATTGCTTGAATATTTTTTTAGACATGGCCCCCATCAACTTTCTTTTAGTTCCCTTTTGACACTAGAAAACATTATACCATCTGACATTTTGCTAAAATTACAAAACAGTTCTCCGCATTTTCAGAAAGGCTGGCTTCAAGATGAAGTTATTGGAGGTTTTCTGCATTGCTTAGAAATGAAGTATCCTTCAATGAAATATTTAGGGCCAACTGAAGCATTAGCTATAAGCTATTCAAAGAGTTTAAAACTTTTATGGAAAGATGTTGATATGAAGATTATAAAACAGGTCTTTATTCCTTTTAATCCAACTAATTCTCATTGGATTTTAATACATCTAAAAGTAAAAACAGAAGAGGTTACTATACTTGATCCACTTCATTGTAATAATATGCCTAACAATTCATCATACAATAAATGCATTTTAGTTGCTAAAAACCTTTTTAAACAAAAATTTAACATTTTAAATGCAAAAGTCATTTCAGCCCCAAGTCATTGTTTACAGAAGGATAGTTATAACTGTGGCGTTTATGTATGCTATTATGCATTACAACTTTGCGAAGGTATCACTGCTTTTATTATTTTAGTGCATTTGTTGATTTTGAACTTATTTCATATATTTTATTCATTCTGTATTGTTTCCTACTGAAATTGATTATTTGTAGTGTTTGCATTGCTATTACTTTGTCAGCAACTATTTACAAACAGAACATTAGACGACTCCTAATTTTTTTTAGAAAAAAATCTTAATGATCCATTTGATGAAGTAGATTTTCGAAAATATATTTATGAGACTTTATGCGGTAGTTGCTTAAAGAACCTTGAAAGTGGTTTTGAAAGTTTGTACAATATTTGCAGGGCAAGTGTTTATTTTCTTTTAAAATATAAATAAATCCATTATAGAATTAGAGAATAATTTTTTTTCTTTTTTGTTAAATTTTAATTGAAAGTGATTTTGTTGGCAATCATCAAATACATGTAAATTGTTTTTTTTTTTTTTGTTTTTGGTTTTTTTTACTTTTCCTTATTTCTTCTTGTTGTTTGCAATTATATTATAAAATACAGCTATCTATATTGATATATAGATTTTGTTAGCAATATAAATAATGTAATAGTGATTATTAGGTTTTCCCAAAAAATAACATTTTTGAAAAATATATGCAGAGACCCCCTTAATGTGTTCTATATGATAAAAAGACACTGGTTTTAAAAAAAATTTGAATAAAAAATGTTTTTAGGGGTCCCCCAAGACCCTTGAACATATTACGAGTTCCTAATATTACAAAAAAAAACTATTGAAAAGTGTATCATGTTGGGTCTTAAATGAGGCGAAATCGTATGAAAATTTCAAAAATAATAATTATATTATAAAAAAAATCATTAAAAAAAAATATTCTCAAAAATCTTGGTACAAATGCTCTTTTTTTTTTTTAGTTTATAAACTTTATTTTTAATGTTGTTAAATCTAATATATTTATTTTTTATAGTTTATAGTTATCATTTTTAAAATTTTCATATCATTTCGCTTCATTTGAGAACGAACATTAAAAACTTTTAAAGATTTTTTATTTTGGTAACATTAGGGGAACTCATATGTTCAAAAGTTTTGGTGGACCCCTAAAAATATTTTTATTAAAATTTTTTTTTAAACCAGTCTTTTTATTATATAGAACACAAATATACACTCTGCGTATATTTTTACAAATGTCGTTTTTTGAGACACCCGAGTGATTATCAAGAATATTTTTATCATTTTATTATTACAGAGTTGTAAGAACACGTCTTTTAAAAAAAAAGATTGGGTGCAATGTACAAAGTGTCCTCAGTGGTATCATTGTGAGTGTGTCCACATTTCAATCAAAGATGCAGATGTCAGTGAAACTTTCCGATGTCAATGATGCAGTTCTGTTATGTTTAAAAAATGGCTATTTTCATAGCCACAAATCTTGTTCAAAACATTAATTGACACGAATAATTAGTTGAACAAAACTAGTTCCCTTTCAATTCTATTGTTTTTGTTTTAGATAAGCATGAATAACTTTTGCATGAATAATCTTTGAAAATTTGTATCGATCAGTAGCAAGAGTGGATGCATAAGGTATAACCGGTATAGCTTTAAACAAGGATATCTGTTGGATGGCTTTTTTATGGGTCATTGGCAGGGTTGGGGTCAAGAATTCATTTGTGTTTGTATTTGGTAAAAATGGGCAAATTTGGCGTATTTGTATTCGTATTGTACTTGATAAAAAAATTCTTAAATATTTGTATCTGATTAAAATTTATTTGCAGTTCCATAAAGTAAGTTAACCCGTGTTTTGTTGGCAAATACTAAGAGGTTCGTTGTTTTTTTTTTTTTTTTTTTTTTTTTTTTTTTTTTTTGGATTTTTAGACTATTTAATAATTCTTGTCTAGAAAAAATATTTATATTTTTTCGTAACCTAAATTACAAGTATTTGTATTTGGAAAATACTGATTGTTTGAACAAATTGTACTGCAACCAGATATATATATATATATATATATATATATATATATATATATATATATATATATATATATATATATATATATATATATATTTAGTATCTTCAGGTTTGTACGATTGGTGGTTAAGAAGAAAAAAATGATTTAACCAAAGTTATCTCATTCAGTTTCTCGACTTTTCGTAGATTACAATCTACGTTCTGTTTTGGATGAAAGAAAGATTTTTCTGTAAAATTCTTAAAAATGTTTTAGTTTGAATAATTTATGTATATTTGTACTTAACGGTTTTCCACCTTAAAATTGTTACGTTAATAAATATATTGTTTACTTACTAATAAATAAGTGTTGATTTTTTTTTTTTTACGTTTTTCTGCACAAAGTTCCACATAAAAAAACAATTGAACTTGATAGAAAAATATTCCCTAGTTTTTTTGAAAATATTTGGTTGAACCATTGGCGATCTATACTATTGGGATTGCGATCGTGAAATCGGCGTATCTGACTGTGGGGGATGGGCGAGGTCTATTTATAATTATCCTTAGTTATAACGGGTGGTTACTAAAAATCCGGACAAACTTTCAAGTGCAATTACTCCCAAAGTTTTTATGGTAGAGATTAAATAAAACTATCATTAAAAAGAGTTTTTAGTTATTTATTTATTGTAATTAAGTTTGTCTTCAACCAGTCTGTTTCTTCGGATTCGGCCAACTCTAACACGAGTTGACCCTAAAAGTAAAAATACAAGGTTAAGGTCAATTTTTTTTAGGCAAAGCTTTATTTTGGTTCGTAGTTGTTTCACGTCTTTTGCTTTACTACTTTTACTTTACTCTCATACACTTTGCCTTTCAAAATAGCCCAAAAGTCTTCGATTGGGCGACACTCCGGTACGGCTGGCGGATTGTCAACTTTTTTGATAAAATTGACGTTATGAGTCTCGTAGCAGCTGGTCACGGTTTCGAACTTGCGCTTTTTGCGATATTTAACACTTGGTGGAGTCTTGTCTCTGTTGCTAGAGTAGTAGGTGCTGTTTCCATTAATTGTTGAGTGTGACAGCGTGAAGTAAGACTCATCGTCAAGGATGACCGATTTTCCTTTAAAAACGCGATAAAGACGATCAATGCCATTTTTGATTCGCTCATTCTGTTTCTCTTGTCGATGAGGTATACCCTGTTTTGTATAACTTTTGATGTCAGTGTACTTGGCAAGAGTTTTAATGATATGACTACATCCAAATTTTTTGAATGACTGCATCCAAATTTTCGACCAGCATGCCTCGTCGAAATTCGGTCACTGTGATCAAATATGGCTTTCAGGCGCTTGATCCTCTTAGGGGTCATGATTTTGGCCACACGACCACTTCCTTGCACTCTTTTGTGCCCAGAATCATTCTCAACACGTTTGATTATATCATAGATAGTGCTTCTTGGGATTTTTTCAGCATTGAAGTGAGCTACTGTGAACTTTTTACCTTGCAATTTATCATTCAAATAGAACTCGTAAATTTTCTTACCTCTTCTTGCTTGGTCATCATTATTTTTTTAATTATTATTAATTATCTAAAAAAAAAATTAACTTATAGAGAATTAAATAAGCTATAAAATGGATATAAACATGAATAAAAAAGATTTAGCTTGTGGCATTTAAAATTCAGTTAAAGTTTGTCCGGATTTTTAGTAACCACCCGTTAGTTGTTATTTTAGTGATATTCAGATATAAATAAATATATTTTATGGTTGTACCACACTTATTTTTTAAAAAATAAATTAATTAATTTATAGCTCTCAGAATTTCGATTTTCCATTAAACATACACATTGAGTTAAACATACACATTGATTTAAAACAGTGTGTTCATTGAATGTTTATAAAACTGAATACTGTATTTTTCATTTCCTCAAAAAACTATTGATAATATTAAAATTAACGGAATAAAACTTTTTCCGTCAAAATATATAAAGTATCTTGGAGTATATCTTGATGAAAATCTATCTTGGTATAATCAACTGTACCATCTTAGAAAAAAACTAACACGAGCTAACACGAGCTAACACTTTCTCTAATTCGTTACTATGTTCCTATCTAAACTCTTCGAATGATTTATTATTCTTTATTCTCTTCTCACCTTTGCTATTGCTGTATTGTTATTTTTAATATTATTGATACTTCTATTATTATTGTAATTAATTTGTATTATTATAATTACGACAAATATCATTATTATTTGTTTAACAATCTTTTCTTTTTCTCTCTTTTATTTTATTTATTTTTTTTTTGCTTTGCTTTCTTTTCTTTATATTTTTTCGAGAATTTTAGGTTTTTTAGTTGTCGCCCATTTGACTAGTTTGTAACTATATGAGTGACTCCTAACCAAATTTTAATAATTTAAGATAAACATTTGTAACTGTTTATTGATATGATTACAATATCAATAAACAGTTACAAATCATTGTTACAATATCATTGATATGAAGTACAATGAAGTACTAACAGAATACGGTTGACCCTTTTTATGGAATTTGTGTTAAGGAAAATATTGTTGCTAATAGCGTTGCTATAAATAAAATCATAGAATACTTAATTAAATTGAAGATTTAACTTAGGGCTTTCCGAAAAATTATTATGAAAATGAGAATCTAGTTTGTTTTTTGAAATAAAATGAGCATTATATTTTAAAGTTGCTTTATAAATATTATTTACTATTGTAACCTCTCAAAAGATTAAAACAAAGTTTTGTTTCAAAGAAAAAATTGAGACAAATAAAAACTTTCTTATTAATTTAAAAATATAACTCAATCGCCGCATCAGGTACTTGATTTTAAATTGCGCCTGATGTTAACAATAATGACTTAGTGTAAAATTATCACAAATTTATATACAATGCGGGGCGCGATTACGGGTTTATGAAATTGAATAGGAGTATTTCTCCCCTACACTTGATTCATATTTCTGTTATAACTATGGAATAAAATTTTGTTTTTCAGTTTATTAATAATGAATCAAATAGTAGAAGGATTAGATAATGATGTTTTGTTCATCGTTTTTTTTTTAATTCTTATCATTATTCTAATTCCTTTCTATATTTTTTCTCCAATACAAAGTCGATTGTCTTCATTCAGAAATCAGGAAAGAGCAGAATTTTCACATAATTTTGAGCAATCAAACAACCAAAATAATGGTAGTAGCACGTTTGTTTCACCAGGTATAAATGACTCTGATATTCATACTAGTGCCAGTTTGTCAAATTCTGAAATTGATTTAACCCAAGACAATATTTCACAAAAAAAAGACACTGTTGCTTCAGATGATGTGATTTCAATTAAAGTTATTAATAATGAAGTATTTCATATACATACTGTTAGTAAATTCATGAAACTGTCAGATTTGAAACGGTAATGTAATTAGTTTTGATAGGTGTTATTTTTGAAAGATCAATGCACAGCAATATTCGGAAATACTAAAAATTTTATCATTATAAACTGTCTTATTCAATACATAGCAATATTCAGGGGTACTGAAAGTTTTATCATTGTAAATAGGTTTTGGTAGCTTCTATATGTTAATATTTTTATAAATATTTGCAAAAAATATTTATATAAATTTTTGCAAAAAATGTAAAATTTAAAATTGCCTGCAAATGAAGGGATTCTTAAATAATTCATGGTTATAGCTTTTAAATGTTAAAAATAAATAATTTAATAAAAACCAAAACAAACTTAAATCTATATTTTTTGCCTAAAATCTATTGCCTCATTGAGGCGATTTAGGTAACGGTGGTAATATTTTTAATGGTGTTATTGTTTCCATGCTCTAATAATTTTTTAAAAACATCTAAGTTGGACTGATTTATTGAATAAAATTGAGAGAGAAACATAAAAATATTTTCGAAAATTAAAAGCATTCTCAGGTATAGTGGTTCTCTTGTTCAAAGGACCCTGAATAGTTACAAAAATTTTTTTTTTGCTTTCTTAAGTTCTATATAGATAAAAAAACAAAAAACAACAAAAATATTTTCAGATATAATCTCATAGTTCGAAAGTATCATTTCTGTTAGAGAATTTAAAATTTTTACGAACATAAATGTACTTTTTCTACTTTGTTTGTGACACTATTTAATTTAGTATACACAGAGTACTTTGAATTTCATATTTTGAAGAAAAATGTTGTTCAATAACACAACATATATATATATATATATATATATATATATATATATAATATATATATATATATATATATATATATATATATATATATATATATATATATATATATATATATATATATATTTATATATATATATACTCTTGCTTCTTTTAATCTCTCAATTAAAAAAAAAAGTTTTTTTTTAATTGATAGATTGTCTGCCCAAATTAAAACTCTCAGTCAATGTAGCAGCACTCCTTGCATGTTCTACCTATTTGTCAGTCCTTGTAACAGCACTCCTCACATATTACTATTTGTTAGTATATATTATATGTATGTTTATATATTTTTCATAATATGGGATTTTGAATATATATTCAATGTTTTTAAAATTTTATATAGTTTTCCTAACATTTTCTTTGATTTAATTTTAATTATAATGGTATTTGGCTAAAAATATTTTGTAAATTGAATAGCAGTAAAGGCTGTTTTAAATTTTTTTACATATTGCTTTTAGCTCTTTCTAGCTTGCTATATAATTGTGTTATCAAAATTTGGCCAAAATACAGTTTTTCGAGTAGCACAATTTAAATAACGTTATTAGCTAACTATTTTCAACAGTTTCTTATGATTCTAACGGTATAAAAAAATAAGTACTGAACTAATAGATTTAAACATTAATTTATGTTTGAAAGTGACCGGAAACAGTTTTTTTTTTTTTATCATTAAAATGTTTTCTTTATTAAAACTTGATTTTCTCCCTAAATACAAAACCTTTCATTTTAATTTTTATTATATACAAAGATAACAGGTCAACCAAAAACATTTTTTTTTTCTGTTCCCGAGCAAACAATTAATTTTTTTTATAGCATTTCTCATTTTGATTTCAAATATGCAATTTATTTTTCACCATCATGTCAAGTTTTAAAGATATTTGGATTTAAATCTTTAGTATTTGGGGTAAAATCCCTAATATAGTCAAAAAAAAAGTTATTCAAAAGTATGTCAACCTGGGTCTCAAAAGAAACGTATTTTTATAGAGACTTTAGAAAACATGAATATTTTTCCTTAAAACTTATTGACAAAAAAGTTATGTGAAAAATGCTATAGCCTCTTAAAAAAATTTTAACAAAATGTTTCTTAGCAATAATACAAAAAGTACTTATTTTTATTACAAATGAGTAACATTTTTAAAATCTCTATGAAAAGACAGATTGGGGTAAAATAGGGATTTTACCCCAAATACTAAAGATTTAAACCCAAATATCTTTGAAACTTGACGTGATGGTGAAAAATAAATTGCATATTTGAAATCAAAATGAGAAATGCTATAAAAAAAACTAATTGTTTGCTCGGGAACAGAAAATTTTTTTTTTTGGTTGACCTGTGTAATTTTAATTTATTTAATAAAATATATAATTTAATAAAATATATGAAATATGTATTTATAGATCTTACAAGGAATGCATTTAAAAAATGCAATTTTATCAAGTTTAAACTGATTTTATAGAGCTAGGACATTTTACCTTAGACTTCCTTCATGAAGTTAATTCTTTATTTAAAGAGAATTTGTATCATACTATAAAAACTAAAATGAAATAATATGGTTTTAAAAAGCTCATTTTATAAAAAAATTAGTGACATAAAAGCTAATAAAATGTAAATCACCTTTAATTTTTATGTTTTGTGAGTTTTTCCTGAACAAAACGTTTTAATGTGAATATATATATATATATATATATATATATATATATATATATATATATATATATATATATATATATATATATATATATATATATTATATAGTATAATGATGTATATTAAATTTATTATTAATTTTTAAATTTCTTACATGTGTAAAGTTGTAGCAATACAAAAATGATCAGATGTTTGGAATCTATGAATAGATACCACTATGTTAAACTTTTTTTTTACTGCGCTGCAGTAAACAACTGGGGTGTAAAGTATTATCTAGGACACCACTTCTTAATCATTAAAAAATTCATAAAATTTATATATAATTTTCTAGTCTATCCATTTCTATTGAAAAGTTGTTCGAGATAAGTTTTTAACAAAACAAACCATCATTTCTCAAAAGTTTAAAAATTACTTATGCTGACAATAGTATAAAAAAATTAAGAAAAACTAAATCATTGGAGGAAATTTTCTTGATGTGTAGCAGATGATGGTTTTTCAATGAATGATTTGAATGAATTTCAATGAAATGTAAAAGATAAATAATTAATGAATATGTTAGAAGTAAATGCTTTGACATGCCAAATAGTCCTACTCCTGTAATGTAAAGTGTGTTCTGAAGTTTTATTAAATTTAAAAAAAAAAAAAAAAAACAGTGTTATCAAGGATCTAAATTATAAAAATGTTAAGTTTTTACTAACAATAGGCAAATGGACTGAAAACTATTAATAAATACCACAATGTTACAGATCATGCCCATTTTCATGTGTAGGGGAAAGCAGGTAGGATTCGTACACTTTTTACATTATGTCATATAAAAGCAAAAATAATTGCTATTTTAAAATAAGTTTAATGCTGCTTAGTAACCTAAATATCTGGCTTAAATAATGATGTAGTTTAGTTTTGAAAAAAGCTAACAAGGCGGTACTATGATGACTTTTGCAAAAAAATGGAGATTGTTCGAATACCCCACATGCGGGGTAGCTTTGTTCAGTTCTTTATTCGGTACTTTATTACAAAGTTAAAAATATATTTATTAAAAATTAAAATTTATTAAGATTAAAATTGAAACAAAATAATTATTAAACATGATAAAAATATAATGCAGAGAATACGTATTTTTTCAAAAGCTTTTCTAGGTTCTCATAGAAATCAGTTACGGCTGTATGTTTAAATGCGAAAGAAGGGACTGCGTGGGTTTTTTCATATGTATTTACAGTACGAATCCTCCCTACTTAATACTGTACGAATGTGCCCCAACCATAACAACTAGCATATGAATTCTAAATAAAAATAATGGAAAAGGTTATTAGAAAATTATTGTCTAAATATTAATCTGACACTTATACAAAAAACATAATAAATTATTTCATTAATTGGATCAAAAGTTATTATGAATAAATGTTTTGAAAGATTAATTGTAAAATTACTTTAGCAGTGCAAAAACACATATCGACTTGTTCCAGTAATGATCACGATGGCAGTGCCACAGCACTAAGCTGTTAGCCTTTGTGCATAAGTGGTCTTCACACATACATAAATATAAATTTGTCAAAACAAAGAATGGTCTAGATGCCTACTGTAGGAATGCTCCTGCTGTATGAATCCTACCTGCTCTCCCCTATGTATTAGAGTTAGTTCACATTAAAATGATTAACTGGTAAATAAGGAAGCATTTCCTGTTACATGTTTTTCAATATTGGATCTAAAATAGTTTATCAGTTGCTGTACAAAAAACATCTTGCTTTATCGGTGGCCATTTTTTCTAAAATTTTGTTGTCCCAATGCAGCAACAATGGTCCCATTGTCTTGCTTTTTTTTCTGAATTATTCTGAACTTTGAAATAATGTCTGTGCCACAGCAAGTCTAGGAGGCAAATGCGATCCAAACCAAATACAACTTCAAGCTGTTAAATAAGCTATTATCTTATATTCACCTTTCTCTCTTTTTATTCTCATTGCCTTATTTGCCTCAAAAAACATCTTTTTGCATGTGAAGGAAATCTTGATCTTCTTTGTTCTTTATTTCTGTCATTGCGTTCTTTGTTGCAATATCAAATAATTCTTGAAGATCACCTTTAAACATTTCTTCTTTCATCCTGTCACTTTCGTGTTGTCCTGTTTTGTGTATCTTCAGAGCATAATAATTTTGATATAGCTTTGACAGTTTACTTACACATGAGTCAATCTGCTGCGTTGGCCTGTCTTGCATCAAATTCCAAATAATTGCATCACAAGACATTTTATAAGTCTCTTGAAGGTACTTTATTATAAATTTTTGGTCTCTCTTAAATTGAAATCTTGATGGAGCCATTTTATAGTTTAGTTTGTAGTTTTTGACTTGAAGAATTTAATAGTTCAATTTCAGTTCAATATTAATTTAGTAACAAATTAAATAATATGCACATTAGAATTAGAAACAGTACATCTGCAAGTTACTCAGTACAAATAAAGTTAAGCAAATTAATTTATAATGCTTAATTCTTTCATCACACCATCACTTCAACAACTTTTTTAGGAATATGTTTTAATTTCACAATAGATAATACGCAATACCATCTAGCATGGTAAAGTACTTTCTGAAAGGTATTTCATTTGCATAAAACAAGCAAACCAGCCACTGTACCTCCAATACACTGTATCCTCCAGTACTCTCTTCTAATTTTTTAATCACTCCATTTTATTGATCTGTATTGTTCACTGCAAGATTGCATGTTATTGATGCTTGACAGGATCTCATTGGCAATTTCATTTGTTTTACAACTTTGTGTTGCTATACCAACTAAATTTATAACATATATACATAATGCAACCTAGTAGTAAATGACCATCCTATATATAACAAAAAGTTGCATAATGATATATATATATATATATATATACATACATACATACATACATACATACATACATACATACATACATATGTACGTACATACATGCATATATACATACATACATATATACATACATACATACATACATACATACATACATACATACATACATACATACATACATACATACATACATACATACATACACACATGTGCATATATATTATTTGCTCGGTGTAATTCACCTCCTTAAAGGCCAAATGGGGACTGAACTTGGATCTTCTTGCTTATGAAGCCAAAATGCTACCACTACCGCATATATATTAGTTTATAATTATATTACTTTGACTATTTGTACTATTATTTACTTTATAGTATCTTAAATTTTCACTAAATTATTAAGATGAATATTTAAAAAATGTTAAAAAGTTTAATAAATGTTAAAAAGTTTAATAAACGTTGAAAATTATAAATCCTAATTAGAAAAACTATTATAAAAAATATAAAAGCAACCTTTGTGTATTTACCTTTCAATATGAGTGTCACTTAATATAAAAGCAACCTTTGTGTATTTACCTTTCAATATGAGTGTCACTTAATATAAAAGCAACCTTTGTGTATTTACCTTTCAATATGAGTGTCACTTAATATAAAAGCAACCTTTGTGTATTTACCTTTCAATATGAGTGTCACTTAATATAAAAGCAACCTTTGTGTATTTACCTTTCAATATGAGTGTCACTTAATATAAAAGCAACCTTTGTGTATTTACCTTTCAATATGAGTGTCACTTAATATCAATTTAGAATTAAAAAAAAATCTTCTACAAATACAAATGCACCTGTTAGACTGTTGGACCTGTTGTTTATTTTAGCTTTTATGTTTATTATTATATTAATATCATTATTATAAATTTAAGTTAGAAAAATGTTTTTAGCATAAATACGAATGTTAAAAAAAAATTAATAAAAAAATCTTCTAAGCTAAATTTCAAAAGTATACAAAATGTAATATAAAATTTATTGTTAAAAAATATAGATAAAATAAAAATATAATGAAATATAACATCGTGTAAAAATATAATATAAAATTTATTGTAAATAAATGATTTTTTAGCATTAATTGTGAAATTGTAATGTGAAATTGCAAATAACATTTTATTTTTTAATTGTGAAATTTTGAAAAGTGTATGAAGCATAAAAATTTTGATGTTATTATTACTTCAGTATAACCTATAGAGATGTTTTTTAAAAAAAAAGCGTAATTCACAAAAAATAAAATAAAATATTGCAAACAGTGCAGATCAATAAAAAAATATTGCAAAAAAAATAGTTAAAATGTTTTTGGAATTTTTAATTCTATTGAGTCTCTGCACTTTAATAAAATAAAGTACTGCATGTTATAATATTTTTAAAAATTACAAGATTTTTTTTTTTTTTTTGTAAAACAATCTGATACAAATTACTTATAAAATTGACGTGATTACGTGATAAAGATTACGTTTTACATGATATAGAAAATTACATGATTACGTGATATAGGTTATGTGATACGTGATATAGAAAATTACGTGAAACAGGTTACGTGATATAGATTGTAAAAAAGTTTTGAGATTATTTAAGGTTATTACGAAGCAATAAAAACACGCTTAGATCTGATTAGGCGATCTAATGATATTCTCAGATCAAAATACAATAAGATCAAAAGTTTTGAGAAGTTTTAAATTATCTTTAATTATCTTGTTTCAGCCCTCAATTATATTTACTTAGTTTATCATTTTTATTTAGAAAATGTTTTCCTGTGGAATACGATTCAGCAAAAAACATACGATTCATTTATAGAGGTTGTATTTTATCAGTAGATTCATCTACTCTCAATGATTTAAATATAATCGATGGAAGTGTTATACATTGTGTTATATCAGATCAAGCTTCATCTTATCAAAGACAAAGTCGCGAATCCTCAACACCAGCAGATTTTGACTTAAGTGGTATATTTATACCACTTTTGTCAATGATTATTGTTTTAATATGGATTACCGTCTTCATGTACTCTTATCTGTTCTCTGGAATAAGTATAGTAATCCTTTGTGTTGTATCAATAATTTTTTTTGTAATGACATTTTTTAACAGATAAATATCATCATCTTTAATTAAGTTGTTGAAGAAAGTATATATATTTTTTTGTTAATAAAAAGAGATAAACAGTGTATAGAGTTGTTTTCTGCAATTAGCATTAATAACAAGTTTATTAAAATTTCATTGTCAATAATAGGAAACAATTGGACCTAGACTTTATTTAAAAAGCTTGGAATACAAAACAGTTGTGGTGTATTTTCATGTCATACTTCATTTCTCTAGTAATGCCTCTAATTTTTATTTTTTTGTTTGTTTGTTTGTAGTTATTAAGGTGTTTTTAGAAGTCCTTACGATCTTATCACAGAGCACCACGGAAGAGCATTTAACTAGGAAGGTCACGCCTCCTTCCAATGTCGCTTATCGGGTGGAACCAATATTGAGGTAGTCCTCTTTGTTCATAGTTAATGACAATAGTGATAGTGAAAGATTCTAGTTTTTTTGTCATTGAAGACAAAAACTTACTTTACCTTAACCCTAAACTTAATTTTCTACCGGTACCACTGGTTTTGTTTTTTAACAATTTTTTCTATAGTAATTTTTTGTTTCAAGGCATAGACAGCCTTCATTTTTGCCAGTTTCACAATCTTTCTTGTAATTTTTTCCTAAAATTTGTTTTGTTTTGCATTCACTTTTAATAATCATTTTTATTTTCTCTAACTTCATCTGCCCATCTTTAATTACTTTTAGGTAAAGTATAATTAATTAAATTATATGTAGCTTTGTAAAAGCTGCTAACGGGTGTTGCCAGTTTTGGCAATATATATATATATATATATATATATATATATATATATATATATATATATATATATATATATATATATATATATATATATATATATATATATAAATACACACACACACACACACTTAAGTAAATTAAAAATCCTAATTTTTTTATTAGATGACGTGTTATGTTATTAATAATATGAATTAACAACTTTGTCTATATTATTGTTGAATTTTATACTTTTTTTGTTGAATATATTATTGTTGAATTTTATACTTTTTTCTTAACATTTTATTATATTTTGGTACGTATACGTTTATATAAAATATTGGTGAGTAGATCTTCTCTTTTGATTTTTTACTAGATACTTTGGAAATTTGTAGAAGTTTAATATTATTGTTACCTTAGTTAAATGCTTGTTTGAACTTATTTTAAGGTTCTGACGACGAGATCCTTTGATCTTCTTTCAGATACCTTGTTTTATATTTGTTATATCGGGTATCAAAAATTTGTGAAAGTTTATTATTTTATCTTTTGGCAATATATAATTGTAATACGACCAAAAATGTTAAAAAAATAAATAAAATGTCTAAACTTCTGGCGCGGTTTTGACTCGCCTGTAAGTTACTTTATGTGTGTTTGTGTTCTCTGACCTAGTGTTCATTCACTCGTAAGTTACTATATGTATGTTTGTGTTCTGTCTAAATCTCTGGCGTGGTGTATGTTTGTATGTTAGTTCTTTGAAGCAGTGTGAGCTCAGTGACTAACTAGTTATTCAAACTATAAAACCTACCTTCACCCTAAACTCCTAAAAAAACTTGAACCATAATAAACGAAATAGTTGGGAGAAAAAAACTAGATTTAACATATCCAACTGACATCAAACTGAGAATAATGGTGAGGTTTTTGATAAGAAAAATATTACTGAAAAACTTAATAATTTTCTTATAAACATCAAAAACAAATTAGCCAGTGATCAAGTAACAAAACATTCAAGTTTCTTTTGAAAAAATCTGATTTTGTAATGGAAGATTTAGAACTTTCTATTGATGAGCTTCATTTAGCTTTTAACACGCTTGAAACGAAAAAAAAGCGCAGGTCTTAATGATCTTAGTGCAAATGTTGTGAAAACATCTATGATATAGAATTTCCATTTTTCATCGTATAATCTTTCCTTAAAGAGTCTTTCCTGATTAATTAAAGTTTACAAAATTAATTCCTATTTAAAAAAACGGCGACGACTCAATAGAAACTAACTACAGGCCTATCTCTACTTTCCTGTTTTTCAAAGTTTCTTGAGTTTTATTTTAGGTTCCCCAAAGAAATTCTTACGATCTTATCTTAGAACACCGCGGAAAAGCATTTTAAAAGTTCGCGCCTCATCCTTTACCGGTGCTATAAAACTTGCCCAGAGGTGGCGTTGAACCACGCATTTCTTGTTTCTGAAGCAAGCACGCTAAGCAATGCGCTACGACTGCTCAATAGGATACTAATACTTTCTTTTCTGGTAACAATATAAAGTTTGTTTTTTGTATTTTTAACTCTGAACTAGTAAATCTCAACGACTAGTTTAAAGCTGATAAACTTTCCTTAACTAAGAATAAAACAAAATACATATTGTATTTTGTTTTATTCTTAGTTGACAAACCCTTAAAGTTTGATATCTTACCCCTTAAACTTCCAGATTGATTTATAAACAATATTAAAATAAAAAAAACCATTCAATAAAAATTTTAGGCATATTATTAAATGAACATTTAAATTGGAAAAATTGTATTAAATTAGTAGAAAAAAAATCTCTAACTTTGGGGATCATGTTCAAAACGAGGTACCTTTTGAATTATATTTGCTTAAAAAGTTTATATTTTTCATTTATCCATATCTATATTAGTTATTTTAATATAGCATGGGCAAGTAATCAGTCGTCTTCTTTAAAAAAATTTATAGCAAACAAAAGCAAGCGAGTTTTAATGTAAATCAAGGCCTTCTTAAACAGGCCGCGACAGCTCATTTTCCGTAAAATTAGCGAAGGCCGATTTTTTTACGGAGAAGTATAGTTTCAATGAGGATTTTGGTTGTTTGATTTAAACTATAATAGTTAAACTCGTAAAATGCCTAATAAATGCTGCGTTTATGGTTGCTCCTCAAATTACAAATCAAAAGTAAAAGATAATGTTAATGTCACAATGTATAGATTCCCCTTTAAATCCGGGGATCGCGAGTTATGGATTAAAAAACTTCCAAATGCAAACTTTGTGTTTACAGATTATAAGCGAATTTGTGCTCAGCACTGGCCTAAAGATGCAGAATTAAAAAGAGTCAAAGGTGGTAGTTTTGTTCCAGTGCATCCTCCATCAGTATTTAAAGGTATACCAGTGTCTTGTATTCCAATAGTGTCTAGAAAACGAGATGTCACTGGGTTGATATGACTGGGTTGATATGCTCTGAAACTTTCAGAGCATATCAACCCAGTCATATCAACCCAGTGACATCTCGTTTTCTAGACACTATTGGAATACAAGACACTGGTTCTTTCATATTTCAATATATTTCTTTCAGTGAAAGAAATATTTTACCTGATGAGTTCGAAAACTTCAAAAAAATGGACGTTATTCAATTTAATACAATTGTAAAAAATTTGAAGTCAATAATAAATTACTGTGAAGAAAAATTTTATTTTGTTGAAAAAGAAAAAAATACATCTTTAATATCATATGAACATTGTGGACCAGTACCTAAGTTTTCAATATATATAACTTGAGAAGATTCTGGAGATATTTATTTTACTGGATATAGCCAACTTTTACAAATTAAACTGTCTTTTTTAAACAAAGGAGTTATTAAATATTATTCTCAACTGGAGAATGCTGTTAGTTATGTTATTAATAATGAAACAGATTCTAAGTGAGCAAGTTATATTAGGCATCAAGTAGCTTTATTAAATAAAACAAACAATACACCATTAGCACTAATGCTCCTTTGTCTTTTTGGTGGCCCACGACTTGTTATAAAAGTTTTTCCAGTTTGTAAAGTTACAACAAATTTTCAAACAAGCGTGATAGAAGAATTAAATCAACAAATCATAATTGCAGGTGGAAAGCCTCTTGGTTAATAATGGATTACTATCGAGTAAACCAAAAAATATTTCAATATTTTAATGCAAAAAAAGTTCCAGCATACTATCTTTTAAATGACACTGTGCATATTTTAAAATGTATTCGAAATAATTGGATCACTGAAAAATTGCAATGTTTAAAATATAGATTGCTAAATGATAACTATACTGTGCGACTTGCAGAATGGAAATTTATAATTCAACTTTATGCTGCAGATAGTCGATTAGTTAAGTTGTCACCAAAACCAATTGAACGACAAAATGTTGGATTAGTTCTTAAAGTTTTTTGTGATGAAACAGTTGCAGCAATACGTGTAAAATTTCCTGAAGCTGAATATACTGCACTTTTTATTGAAACAGTTGTTAAGTGATGGCTTATTGTCAACAGTAAAGCAAAAGGTCTAGATATTAGATTAAATGATATTCAAAGAAAGCCTATTACTTCAGTTAATGATTGGCAAATAGATTTCTTAGAGAACTATACTTCGTATTTTGCTGAAAATTTGAAATGCGTAAATTCAAAATTAAGAGAGAAAAAGTTAAAAATGGATACTGCAAGTGTTTGCAAAAAACTTCTAAAAGATTAGCAAGCTGTGCCAAGTATTTGTTGAATTGTGGTGTATCTTATGTATTGTTAGGACATATGCAATCAGATGCACTAGAAAAACAGTTTAGGAAATATCGGCAAGGGTCAGGTGGCACATATCTGATAACTGTGCAAAATGTTATTCAAAAATTTAGAATCGACAAAACTAGAAAGTTGCTAGACAAGCATACAGATTTTACAATATTTCCTCCTGCTCACCACCACTGTGATAAGTGTGAACTTGATGTGGAGTTTATTATGTCAATATGTGAAAATTGTGAGGATTAGTTGCCAAATGAATGCAAACAAGGACTTTTATATATTGCAGGTTTTATTGCTTACAAACTTCCAGAATTACATTCAATTTTAGAAGAAACAGACAGCTTTGATATGTTTCAAAAATATGGAACTTTGATCAGTTCTTTGAATAGGGGAAGACTAAGAGAACCTTCTGACAATTTAGTCTACTTTGTTTTTTATTGTTTTTTTATATTTGAAGTGACACTTGTGAATAAAGTTTCACCATTGCTGTGCAAGAAAGGATTAATTGACATTTTTATTAACTGCAATAGTAAATTTCAATTGCTTGTTCAAAGTGTTAAAAAAGTTTGCTGCATTTTGGCAAACATTTTTTTAAACAATTATTGTAAAAAACACTCTGAAGATTTTGGGAAGGAATGTTTAATAAAACAAGCAAAACTTTTAACTTCAAAATAAAATACTTTGAGTCAAAAAAGTCAAAATATTTTTAATAAAATAAAGTTAATATATTTGTTTGTTTTTATCAAAAAATTTATTATTTGTATTACAAGTGTTAAACAGCTAAAATAAACATATAGTTATAAAAACGAGATTTAGTCATTTTTAGCTAAACTCCTTAAATTTTTATTGTAATTAACTTATTTCTAAACGTAAAAAAAATTCCTACAATATTTGCTTTCGAAATTCAATCAAAATGTTTTGTCCTAATAAAGCTTTTTATTTGTTTCTGAAGTTTGTTTACAAAAGCAAAGATAAAAAATAATTTTAACCGTAAAAAAGTCGGCCTTCGCTAATTTTACGGAAAATGAGCTGTCGCGGCCTGTTTAAGAAGGCCTTGATGTAAATAGATAAGGATATGCCAAGCCTTTACTAAAAGAAATTTATGCTTTAAACGTATAAGAACTAAATATTTATCAAAATTTATTGTTCATGTTTAAACTTCACAATAACATGCTTCTATCATATTTTCCGCCACATTTCTCTTTAATTAATCATTTAAAGAAAATCGGACTACTCTATTACTTGTTGGGTCTGTGGAACGTCACCCA